GGAGATGGCTCTACAAGGCTTTTTCTGATGGGCAAACACACAGGACATGACGCACCAGCAGTTCTCTGAGCCACAGATGGGGAAAGCTTGTTTGGACCACCGTTGCCAGCGTTTCCCCAGCCAACGCAGCAGTTGGCAACATGCAGTCCAACCAAAGTTCACATCTCCTCACGATGCTCTTCCCTGACCTCCTGCGCTGCAGACGGCTCCCCACCCCTCTGCTCCAGAGAGTTCAAAGGGTGTTGCTCCGTTTGCCTGCCTGCTGCATATGTGCCGCCTACTTCTGCATTCAACTGACAGGTTTTTGTACTTTATACCCTCTTAATATTATATATATACTGTATATGTAAAAACAAACCTGCATAGCTGGAGGCAACAGAGGGACATGAGGACGGCCAGGCCTTTGTCAAGGCACTTGCAGTTCTCTGAAGCCCAGCGTAGGCAGGGTGCTTTTAAAAGGCCACGTCCATTATCTGCACATGATGAATTCCTGCACTGAGCAGGGATTTGGAGTAAACGAACTCCAAGCTCCCTTCCTATTCTGTTGACAAGTTTAAAGATTCCTTAATCTTTACAACAGCCTTACACGGTAGGTTAGTATCGCTGCTACCCTTCTCTCAGCAGGTACAGCTTGGTTAAAGATACCTGTTGATTGTGTAGCACAGGCAAATGGTGGGTTTCCTGATACATAATGCAGTTGTCTAGCTAGAGACTGGAAAAGTTACTTTTCTGGACTACATCTACTGATCATACCACTTGAGATTTCTGGGAGTCATAGATCAAAATGTCATTTTTCCAACTCTGTTTTCAGTCCAAGGGTAGGAAATGGGTAGCCCTCCAGATGGCAAAAGACTGCAACTCCCATCAGCCCTAACCAGATAATGGTCAGGGATGATGGAATTCGCAGTCTTAACAACATCTGGAAGGAAACATTCCTTTCGAATGACTAAATCCTGCCTCACTTTTACTGTTCGTCTCAATCCCTACATCCTTTTGAAAAGATCCAGTTCTTCGATTCTGCAAGGCCATTGCCACATCTGACACACATACTTTACTACACACACACACAGACACACGGGCGCACACACACGCACACACACACACCAGGAAGGGAAACAGTA